CATGCGACACAATGCATTCACTAATTGTAGTGTCCCGTTGTGTGCTGATTAAGAGTGTTTACAACCAATTGAAAATAATAAACACACAGTTTATGGCATAATTGAATATCTTTAATTTTGCCAGCAAGGGAAACGTATCACGAGCAGCCAAAATACATCACAGCGCGATTTGGTGAAAGTCATTAAAGGGACCCTCCCACCTTCAAAAAGTTTATGAATTGGCATGAAAGTGATGTCGCTCGGTTCAGAAAGAGCGAAAACGAATATCTACCAAATTTCACCGAAAAATATTCACCGGTTTTCAAGATATTAGATTTTTACTTTTGCTTACTTTTTGGGATCTCCGCTGTTTCTAGCGACTTTATTTGGAAGCAATAGTTTGGCAGCTGAAAGTGCGGCACTTGTTGCGCGCAAAGCAGCATATACCACCGCGTGCTACATAACGTTTTAGTCAAACATTTAAAAATCGTTAGATATCTGCGCTGACGTCAAACATTCAGAGGGGTATTCCTATGCATTAGCCCCTCTGAATCAAAATGCTGCAATTTTGAAATTCAATATTTCCGATTTAAGGCATTTCTCGATGTTGTGAGTGCCGAAACCGGTAATTGTGGGCCAGGGACCCCATTTTGGCTATCTCAACTCAAATCTAATGTTAAGGTGGGAGGGTCCCTTTAATCTGAACACGGCAAAATGCAAGGAAATGGATCGCAAACAAACGCTATGGATCGTGCTATTTCATTAACTGATAAATACCGTTATCAATCAGTGAACTAATCTATGACGTAACTAATCCTTTCCTCTGCCGTCATTCGTGGTCGTCTTAACCCTCGCCCTGGCAGGGGGGGGGGGTCGATGCGACCCCCCCTAAGGTTTTTCAAAGATAGCGTAAAAACGGCGGCGCGCAGCGCCGCCAAATTTGACACAGCCTATGGGGCAACCTTTTTACACATGACCTGAAAATTTCAGGTCCGGGTGACCTTGGGTCAGGTCACCAGGTCAGAAAAACCGGTACAAGGTCATGGTCAAATTTCAATTTTCTTTTTGCACCTGTCCAACTCACAGTTTTGGACTGATTTCCTTCAAACTTTCAGGATGTGCTAAGCTCACCGAGTTGTATAACATATAGTTCGGGTTTTTTGAGGTCACTGACCTGAGGTCAGTTAGAGGTCATTACGTCGTAATGTTAAGCCTATGGGAAAATACTAAATTCGGAACATACTGGAGATATCCGCTTCGTTCTATCACTTTTGTGCTTTGAAACCACAGTACTTAACAGCAGGTCACTTGGTGCTTCTTTGTTTGGCGTACTTATCCATGGGTCAGGTCAAATGAGGTCAACTGAGGTCAAATGACGTTTTTGCCAATAACTTGGCACATAATGACGCTAGAGCTTAAAAAATAGTGTCATTGTGTTCCTGGTGATCAGCCGAATCGAATGATATGCGATATGATGCAATTTGGTTAACTTGAACTTAATTCATTATTTTAAGTTTACTTAAAATTTAAGAAAAACTTTAAGTACACTAAAGCAAGCTAAAAAGAATATCATTCGACGCGCCTTGACGTGCTGAGTTCACTGGTGCTTTTCTTTTTGCTCTATCTTAATTAGATCAAAAGTTATAAGCGAAAAACTTTTCACCTGTTTTTAGCGAAATTTTTACATTTATACCCCCCAAAACCCCCCTAAATATTGACCTAAAGCAACCAAATTTGCACAGGGGCGAGAACTCCGGAGGGCCCACCTACCTACCAAATTTGGTGCTTCTAGGTGCCATAGGAGCCAATCGCAAGGGGGGGGGGGTCGCATCGACCCCCCCCCCCCTGCCAGGCCGTGTTATGAAAAAGGCCCTGCCAGGGCGAGGGTTAAGATCTTAAAATAGTTTAAATCCTATCGATTTTGTGTGCGTTCTTCTGAGCCATTCAAAGCGCAGAACGCACGTGCGCACATACAAACGCACCCTTGTTACGTCATTCATGCCGCATGCGCCATATAAGACTAATCCTGTCATAATTCCCAATCATCCCACCATATTTATCCTCAATCCGCTTATCCTTCCACAGAGGCGTAATGGGCTCGTGTGCACGTGCACGTGATCTCTTTGCTGGGGCGAGGTAAAGGCAAGGATGAGGGGCAGGGCAAGGAATTTAGGGCCTTGGGCAAGGGTACATCTGCAATGAAGACGATGTTATAGTCATGCTTACCTTTTGTTTATTGTAAAATGTACGCATAGATCTCTTCTCTTTAAAAATGCTCGCATATAACGTTGAATATTGAATATTGAACGCATATATATTGAACACAAGAGGCAACGAAATCGTATAGTTATCACAACAGTAGTTGAGTATTCGGCAACAGGCATATATATAGGTAGGGTATAGTCTAACTCTATATATATGTAGTCATATCATGCGTTACGTGCCAAGCTTGATTGAGCGGCCTAATAAGCGGCCAATTTAGATTAAACAGCTATTTGCTCATAACATCGTCTCCAATTAAATATAAAATTGTAGGGATCATATATGATTCACCTGATTCGGATGGTTGCGCTACCAAACATCAATTATCACTTTAGAACACTTGAGTGCTTTATGCATTATTATTTTTCCTTTTAATGTGTACCTGTGCCTACCTGTTTGCTGACTCAGGCGTCAATAGAGTAATGAGAACCATTTTCAATTTGATTTTTTTCTCTATAGTGTAATGTGTTTTGTGCAGTAATAGTAACATACATGCCCAGGGACAGCACAGATGAAGGATGAAGCATAATTGATAGCGAATGAATAGTGGACGCTGCTTGCGAAAACATTTTCGTGTTGTACTTGTACTGGTGAAACCCACGCCTTTCTGCTCATTTCATTTGAAGACAACGTTCAGGTAAATGAGTGACAGCTCTATCTGTTAACTAAACTTTATTGACAATTTTTCTCTAATGTCTGATAAATGAGATGATTCCAATGGATTGTAAGGCATACCGAGTTTCTCCAAGTGCAGCGCCTCATCGAATTTTGAAATTAAAATAAAGAAACTCAAACTGGCGTTAACGATTAAATAGTGTGATGGTCAAACTTAACCCGCGCCGGGCCGGGGGGGGGGGGGTGTTGGAACACCCCCCTGCGGTTTTTCGCAGATATCTCAAAACGGCGGCGCGGAGCGCCGCCGTTTTTGGCTCACCTGTTTGTGCATCTTTTTCGCACATGTTGTGAAAATTTCAGACCCAGGTCGCCTTAGGTCAGGTCACCAGGTCACGCCAAGTGACCTCACCTCAGAAAAAATAGGAATGCTCGTCATAGCTACACCGATTGATCGATTGCCTTGAAACTTTCAGCGATTGATATGAGCAACTATATCTATAAAATGTTTATCTCGGAATTTCGATATCGATGACCTAAGGTCAGGTCAATTTTGCGGCCTCTCCATTATAAGTCAACGGGAGAAAATTGAAAAGCGTCTGTTTTGCACGAACGCTATTCTAGATATTCTCAAACATCGAGATATAGGTACAATTGACACACTGAACCGGAAAATGGCAACTGTGACCCCTCGTTATGTCCCCGAGGTCATCTCAGGTCACGAACAGAATCTATCAATTTTTCGCTAATAACTTCTGATAGAGGCGTGCTAGAGCGCTGAAAACGCCTTAGATGTGTTCGCCTCGACGTTGCAGATCGACTGATATGCAACATGACCTTTTCCGGTCAGGTCATGACCTTGACCTGAGGTCAAATTTTCAAGTTGACCTTTCAAGATCAACTTATAGTTCATTCGACGCGTCTCGACGAGAGGAACACGATGCTGGCAAAAGTAATGTCATGGCTCTTTTAAGTCAAAAGTTATTGCCAAAAAAAAACGGTTTTCGTAAAAATTGCTATTTTTGGAGTTTTTGCCCTCTGGAGGCTAAACCGTTGACCTGAGGTCAAATCTGAGAACATTACTCAGAAAGGTCTGTAAAAGGGCTATCGAATGCGCTTTTCTGCGGCGCTGTAGCTCTATCGGTTCCCGAGATAGCCGTTGGCAGTTTCCAAAATGTTGAAATAGTCAACATTTTACCTTTGGTGACCTCTGGTGACCTGACCTTTGACCTGACCCAAAAAATGACTGAAGTGTTTTCGTCCTTATTTTAGACGTTCTTTCGATTGCCGCTTACTGTGTGTCGCTACGTGGCCCAGGAGCCGAGTTAGACGGGGGGGGGGGGGGGGTGTTCAGACACCCCCCCCCCGGCCCGGCGCGGAATCTCAGAGCACCGGCCCGGCGCGGGTTAACCATTCGATTCGGTATGCACTGCATTATTAAGACCTAGGGGGTGGATGTTTACCTTCTATGGCAACAGGCATGTCTTTCAACTCGTGCAGCTTTATAGCGTGCAACTGCAACTTTACCGTTTTGGGCAGGCTTCCCACATACGAAAATCATGTTCAAGGATAATTACACACGGGAATATTATTATTGATACCGATGAACATGTGCCTAATACTTTCCTATAGCCGAAAATTCGGATTTCCGCAACACCCAAGGAAAAAGGCAGCGAACACCTTTCACCGTGACTATCTGAGTAGCGAGTCAGGCACACTCGGACTATCGGACGCGTAAGGAGGCGGGGACAATTGCGTGTGATCTGTACAGAGTTCCCGGTGACCAGTCCTCGCGTCGCTCCCGGGTAGCGGGCCGACACGACGCCTGTGTGTCCGGCACGACACTCCCGCCCGAGTCGGCATGCAAAACACGCCGCGGAGTTTTCGGGCGAACGGCCTCGCCACACGGGTTCTCCAGCAGGCGACACCGCTGAACGAACTGCACATCGCCGCGCCGGTAGGAAAAAACTCGCTCGAAAAAATGTCGAAACAATGCCGCGGTCTTACGTGACGGGGCTGGTCATTACCCGGATTTCAGCCGTTCCTCGTCCATGTTAGGGGCCGAGTGCCGTCGTACCATGGCCGGCAGCCTGCACGCGGCGACGACGCGAGGTTATAAAGGGGACGCGGCCGCCCCGCGCGTGCAGTGGGACACAGGAAAGCGCACCATGAAGCTGGTCTTGGTGAGTGTTTGGAGCGCCCGCGCCTCGTGCCGTAGGTGCTTGCGCCGCTTTTCAATGTGGTGGGTTCGCTGTGCTCTATGTAAGTGCCTGATAGAATAGGTGGAGCGTTTTGAAAATGTCAGATGAGCTTTTCAGCGGCGTCCGAACGGCGCCGTAAAGTTTCTGTGTAGTACAGTACTCGCATGCATGCGCTTCTGCTGTCTACTCAACTGTGTTTCGTTTTTAGCAAAAGGAATCCACCGAAATTGGAATCATTACTTCAGGTGAACTTCCCAAGTTCAGGGAGGTGCTTTTAACAATGAGGGAGTGCTCGAGCACCCTCAACACCCCTAATTCTCCACCCTGCATGCCAGTTGTGAGGAGCGCATCGATTTAGTGCGCTAAGAGTCAGCCTGCGCATTTGTTGGTAATCCCTTGGAAATTTCCTCTTGCTTCCTGTCATGAGATGTGAAGCTAAATAACTATGACGTAAGGCATGTCCTCTGTAATGTCATCGAAAGAAAATAATGCGGTCTGGATTGCGTAACACCGGTTCGGCACGTTCACATAACCCCGTCTATCAGCATTAACCCTCGCCCGCACATGGGGGGGGGGTGGTTGCCACCCCCCCCAGGTAGTCTTTCTGCTCTGCACTCAACATTTTTAGAGCTAGAAGGCTGATTTTTCGTATAGCTGCTCCCCTATCCTTTCTTGAGGTCCACTGAAAATTTCAAGTTTCTGTGATTTTTGGTTTCGGAGATATGACCTCGTTTTTCAGGTCATGTCATGACCCAAATGGCCAATTCTCAACATCTTGCGCCTGCCATGGGCCTTGTGAGCTTTTGACACCCTGATTTCGGCCTTTTTTGCCAGTCATACCTCCCACCTATCATGGAACATGTTGTTCGACGATGTACAGGGGTCAAGGTCAGGGTCAAGGTCAACCTAGGTCATCTAAGATAATTGCGTTTTAGGCAAGCTGAATTTACTTTTTGTGAAGTTTTTTGACTGCATTTTTGGTAAAAGCTTCTCAGATCATGATTTCATGTAATATGGACCCAAAAACAATCGGTGCACACATCAGTATACACACAGACACACACAGACATACAAACACATATAATTGACCTTGACCTAACTTGACCTGAAATGACCTCAGCAGCAAAATTCTGGTCGGGTAGTGTGACAAAGAGGTTCTAGCTGGCTTGGCACCAGAAAACAGCATCGTCATCGGTATTTGATAAGCAGCGCACTTGATATCCAACGGTGACCCAAAACAGCAACATTTTTTAGTTTGACCTGACCTGGAAGGTCAATGACTGACCTGAGAAGGTAAAACTGGGTATCATTGGATTCGTCTCT